AAAACAGTACACTAATAATACCGCAGCCACCGTATTCCCCAGATCTGCCCCCCTGTGACTTTTTGTTGTTCCCGAAACTGAAGAGACCCATGAAAGGACGACGCTACGCTACTACTGAGAACATAAAGACGGCAAAAACACAAAAATTGCGATACTTTTTGAACAAACCTCGTACATGCATAATATAATAATCGTTTTGAGTGAATTTAATTTTAAATACCTACCTACTTTTCCTTTGTACTGGACTTGTTAATGAACGGACAGATAACAAATAATGCATTGTACATTGTTATGCACACAATACCTATAAACAGCAACGTTATAGACACACATTTATGTAAATGTGGATATTTAGAACAAGTAATCGGTTAAATGGATAACAGTATTTTTACGATTGCTTGGTTGTTGTGGGCGTAAATAAATTCCGTGCAAATATAGAGCTGACTTGCCATGGTTGGAAACGCAAGTTCATTGGACGAACCACCGGCAGCAACCTAAATGACTTACGTAAACCACGGTTTAAATTACGAAAGATAATTGTCAAATAAAAACACAAACATTTCGTTTACAATTAGACCCGAACTAAACAAAAACAATGAATTTTAAGGCAGGCACATAGCGTAACAATTAAAAAATTAAAAGTTTTTATACATGATGGAAGAAACGGCCGATTTGTTTCGTTAAATAGATTACGTTTACGTTTAAAATTTAAATAGTAAAAAAACCAACTAGATTGCATGACTAAGAGGTTTGAAATTCGAAGTAATACCAAAATTTAAGACAACGGAAAAGAGGAAAATAATATAGAACAGGTGAAGAATTGTCTTCTATTACATTTAACTAGATGTGCAAAATAGCTTATTAAAAGTATTTAAATATAAAATGCGAATATTTTTTTGATTTATTACTTCAAATGTAAAATACAAAATAGATTTTCCTTTTGTGTTTGAAATGCTAAACGCAGAATACTTTTTTCAAATAAATACTTTTTTACATCCACTTAAGCATAATTTTTTTTTTATGAAAACCTTGTAGGCATGTTCTTATTTTTTAAATATTGAAGTTTTTCTAGACTAATAGTGGTGTTTGCATCATAAAACCAGCTGCGAAGATTGAGCATGATTAATATTTTTCTGTTTGAAGTGACTGACATATTGTTTTTCTATGTTTATGTTATAGTTTTCTTCAGTTCAGCAACAAATAATTCTTCTATATGCTTCCTAATTTGTCTTTGTTACCCATTTTAATTGGATAAAAGACGGATGTCAAAATAGTTTGTTTAGCGCGAAAGATCAGAGCCAAAATAGGGTTGCACTAATTTTATTGATGTAAAATCAATATCAATCATTTTATATCAAAAGTATTTACAACTCCATTTTGTTTCTAATCTTTTACGAATTGTAATAAGAGAACGAAATGGAATCTATTGTTTCTTAAGCTTTGGGTTTATCTAATTAGTGATGTTTTTCGAATCGTTTTCTAAGAACTTTGGATTATACGCATTTATTTGCACACCACAATATCTTGTAGTTTTCAGTTTAACACAGCTGGCGTATATCAATTCGATATTGTTTTGCGGGCTTCATAGAATTTTGTAGTTCCTTACTAAAGGTATGATAAGTATTGATTTGGCAGGTGCTGATATCAATTTGGAACTTCAAAATTCCATGGACCATGACATAGAACCTGGAAAATAATATCGATCCAATATTTTAGATTATCCATTTCCAAGGAGTTTAGAATTTTTTGGGCTCTCTTTGGTTAAAGATTTAGAAGGCATTCATGGAATGTCCCTTTGTCTCCTGTTTAAGCTTCTAATACCTTCAATGGTCAATTTGAGCAACTTTCATTCATCATTTTATATAATGTTTGATTGGTGATACTATCAAAACTTTTAACGGCAAAAATATATTTTGCATTTTACAAATAGAAAATACGTTTGCAACAGTATTTCAAATATTTCAATGCAAGACAAAAATAGGTATTTTGTATTTGTATTTTAAATTCAAGTATTTCAGATAGAACACACCTCTGCATTTAAGATTAGTTAAAAATAAGGATGAGGAGTCACAACTACCAGTAAGAGTCTCACGTGAATTAACTACTTATGAAGATATTAACAATCAGAAAATGATTTAAATGAAACGTTCATATTGATCATATGTGATCATCAAATTGGCTTCACGATTAGGATAGATAACTGACATACTATTTTCACTATCTAATACAGATAAGGTAGAACTCGACAACTCGATGTAATGTCAGTTTTTAATAATTACGAAAAATGTATCCAAACCATCACTAAACGACCAATAAAAGTAACGAATCTAAAAATCGAGTTCACAAGCAAATAGCCAAGAAGTTAAATATTAAAAAAGTATAATTTAAATGATGGGATGTGATAGAAGTACTCTTTCTTAGATATTTTCTGTGAGCTCAAATCATAACGTATCAATAATTAACATTTGATAGAATTATGAAATTTTCAATTTTTTTATTAAAAAATTAATTATTGGTTACCTATTTATTCAGTCAGATTAAAATTTTGACAATATTAATAACTATAAAAGAGGATTCTTTTATCAAAATTTCAATGTAGTAGTAGCTGGATTATAAAAGTTGACACGAAGCAAAGGAAATCAATTTTTCTAAATAAATCTTCATTTATTGCACAAAATTTATCACTGAAAAATCAGACTCCTTTTCCCTTATGGAAAAAGTGATTATAAACAACGTTCCCATTTAACTTAAATTATTTACTAATTTACATACAATAATCAAATGTAGCCCATAAAATGGCGATTTTTTGGCTTATTCGTTTGGACTATACATATACAATATGAGATAATGTATGTATTAATTTGTACAGAAATATTGTACATTGCAAAATACAAACACAATATTGTTTCTAATTTGATTTGGTTTTGTGTGAATGTCAGTGTGGGTTATCGCATTGAAAAAAATTTGTTTATTGCAGCGTTCTAGACGTCTGAGTAAAGTGTTTTGTTTGAATTGATTACTATGCGAATCGACAATTGCGCCAGTTAACGAGAATGATGATTTGAGCAGATTTTGTTACATTATTATATTCCTGATTCAAACAAGTATTACGCACTATTTATGCGCTGTATCGACAAATACGTCTGCATGTACGTACATTTACTATTGCTAATCAAACAATTTTTCAAGTTTATCAGTCACATACGTAAAATTTCTTTGAATTTTCGCGTAATTACAAATTCTTTTTCTGCTTTACCAAAATTGCGACAATGTTTCTAAACTTTAATCAATATGTTGGGATATAATGAACCAGTACAATACAGAATAGATTTCCCTTTTCTATTTTAAATTCTAAATGCAAAATACG